CGCGGAGAGAGGGAGGCGACTTTCACAGAGAGGCGAGCGACAGTCACCCTGCTGGGCTTCACGATGGGGATCCTGATGGTCACTCTTTGTGTGACGTGACAGATTGTTTCTCAATTTTTTACCTTTTTCACTTTCCTGTAAATCTAAATTTGTGTTTGTGGTTTTTTGTTTTTTTTTCCTTTCTGGGTCACACCCAACGATACACTAGGGGTCACTCCTGGCTCTGCACACTCAGGAATTACTCCTGGCGGTGCTCAGGGGGCATATGTGATGCTGGAAATCAAACCCAGGTCGGTCGCGTGCAAGGCAAACGCCTTACCTGCTGTGCTATCGCCCCAGCCCCTGTGGGTTTCGGTTTGAACCCAGTCCCTCTGCATGCAAGGGATGCACTCTACCACTCAGCCACACCCCCGGCCCTACGCCTGTTAGGTTTTGGCCATTCCCAGTGACACTTGGGGGACTGTGCAGTGTCAGGGGTTGAGCCTGCGGTTCCCACGTGCAAATAATGCACTACAGCCTTTGAGTCATATTTCCCCAGTCCAGTTTGCCTTTTGGGGGGCTGGAGCAATAGTACAGAGGGTAGGGCACTTGCCCTGCATGTATTCAACCTGGGTTCAATCCCTGGTACTCCATATCTATTGTCTAGTTCTCACTCTTGGAGAACCCGACAGGCTATCGAGTGTATCCTGCCCGCACGGCAGAGTCCGGCAAGCTCCCCGTGGCGTATTCGATATGCCAAAACCCAGTAACAATGATGGGTCTCATTCCCCTGACCCTGTGGCACTTGCTAAAATCTCAGGGCTAGGATGAATGGAGACATTACTGGTGCCTGCTCGAGGAAATCAATGAACAATGGGATGGCAGTGATACAGTGATACGGTGAGCACCAGCAGGAGTGACCCCTAAGCCTAGAACTCGGAGTAAGCCCTGAGCTCTGTTGTGTTTGCCTTTTCTTTCTCTCTCTTGGCCCATGGTGGTGTTCAGGGATTTCTTCCTCTGTGTTCCAGGGTCACTCATAGAGGTGCTTGGCGGGCCAGGCAGTGAGTGCTGGGGATCATATTCGAGTTTCTGCCCACAAGCATGCACTTCTGTCTTTTGGGTCATCTCCTTGGCTCCTAGTTGAATTTTCTTGTGGGGAGGCACACCCAGAGGTCCTCAGGGATCACTCCTGGCAGGGTTCAGAGGACCATATGGGGTGCCAGGAATCGAACCCAGATCGGTCTCGTGCAAGGCAATTGCCCTACAGCGTCCTATCTTTCTAGCCCACCAGTCTGCTATTCTTAAGTATAAAAATGTTTGAAAGAGGGGGAGAGAGGTATAGTAGGAAGGGTGCTTGCCTGGCCTGTAGTTGACTGGGTTCAACTCCGCATCCCATATGGTCCCCTGCGCACCGCCAGGGGTAATTCCTGAGTGCAGAGCCAGGAGTGACCTCTGAGCATTTCCAGGCGTGACAAAAACAAAACCAACCAAAATGTTCAAGAGGAGCCAGAGCCAGTGACGGTACAGAGGAGAGGGTGTTTGTCTTACACGCGGCTGACCCAGGTTCGATTCCCAGCATTCCAAATGGTCCCCAGAGCACCGCTAGAAGTGCTCTCCGGAGCACAGAGCCAGAAATAACTCCTGAGCCATCAGGTGTGACCCAAATGCTAAAAAATAAATAAAATTAAAAAATAAAAGAAGCTAGATAGTCAAGGCATCAAGACATGTTCCTTGCATGCTGCCCCAATCAGGAAGGACACAGACTGATCCCTGAGCACCGCCAGGGTTGTCAACCCTGAGGAGAGGCAGAAATAGACCCCGAGCATCACCTGGTGTGGCCAACGCCCTCTTCCCCAGGAAAAAGGTTGAAAAAGCAATGGGGCTCGTTCTAAGGAGGGCAGAGATCGATTCTGTGTGGAAAGTGAGGAGGGCAGTGAAGACTCTAGAGGCCCGGGGACAAGATCCGAGGTAGACAAGGAGGGTGAAGAGCCGTGTTGAACCCTCTGAGGGAGAGAACCCACGAAAGGCTGAAGTGGCGGGGCTGGAGTGATAGCACAGTGGGTAGGGTGTTTGCCTTGCACTGGCCTTGCCTGGCCTGGGTTCGATTCCCAGCATCCCACATAGTTCCCCGAGCACTGCCAGGAGTAACTTTTGAGTGCAGAGCCAGGATAACTCCTGTGCATCGCTGGGTGTGACCCAAAAAGAAAGAAAAAAAAAGAAGGAAAAAGAAAGGCTGAAGCGGGAATGTTTGGGCTCAGAGCTCCCTCTCCACCAGAGTTTGAGAAGGCTGATGGAACCTGTCTTGGGCTTTCATGTTGGAGACTGTGAGTTTCAAAGCCCATTCTGCGGGCTGGAGAGACAGTACAGTGGCTAAGGCGCTTGCCGAAGCCAGAGCTAGGAGTTAGCCTTGAGCACCACCAGATGTGGCCAAAAAAACAAAAACAAAAACTCATCATTTTATGGGGCAGATTAACAGATTAATTAATTGCCTTGCCCCAGGTCAACCTGCTGTGCCTGGAACCACATACAATCCCGAGCACCACCAGAGGTCACTCCTGAGCACAGTCGAGAATAGCCCCTGAACACCACCCCCAGTACCCCCCCAAACAAAACTAGTAAACACAACAAAACAAACACCCACTCACAGACTCCCTGCTGTGTGCATCTAGGTAAGCTCTCACCTCCCCCAGACCCAGTCTGTCTCCCCGAGTGCAAGGAAGGAAGCGATACCTACCCCAGGTTTCCTGCAGAGGGTTAGTGGAAGGACTGAGGGGCAAAAGGGGACTTGGGGTGCTTCGTGCTGACGGTTACTAGTAAGGGGACTTCAGCAAAGAAAATCTGTTTGGAAAACAGAAAAACAGGAACAGAGAAGCGCTAGGTGTTGGGCTTTAAGCGCCACTGTAAGGAGGTAGCCGGGGAGCTTTGAAAATTTAAAAAAAAAAAAAAATATATATATATATATATGGGCTGGAGCAATAGCACAGCAGATAGGGCATTTCCCTTGCACGCGGCCGACTCGGGTTTGATTCTCAGCATCCCATATGATCCCCCAAAGCACCGCCAGGAGTAATTCCTGAGTGCAAGAGCCAGGAGTAACCCCTGTGCATTGCCGGGTGTGACCCAAAAAGCCAAACAAACAACAAATATATATATTTTCTAATTAAAAAGAACCTTTTGCCCTCTTGTCTTCCCTGCTGTTGGTTGGGGTGTGCCGCCGAGGTCACAGAGTTGCTCCCCCAGAGACATCTGCCTTTCAGGCTGGAGCCTGAGGTTTATGAAATGCCTGTGGAGGAAGTAGGCAGGACAGCAAGCGTGCCGGGTGGAGTGGTCAGTCTTGTGGCGTCCTGCTGAAGCTCATGATTTGTTTTTGTTTTTTGTTTCTTGCTTTTTGGGTTGCACCTCACAGTGCACAGGGGTTACTCCTGGCTCTGCCTCTGCACTCAGGAATCTCTCCTGGCGGTGCTGGGGGGGGGGGGGGCATATGGGATGCTGGGGATAGAACCTGGGTCAGCCGATGCCCTACCCGCTGTTCTATCACTCCAACCCTGAAGCTCGTGATTTGGAAGGGGGGGGGGGTGCCAAGCCGACAGGCTCTTGGTGAAGTGGGTCATGCAACCGGGACATCCGTTAGCTGTTTTTCACCTTTTGACTGGCGGGGATAAACAGGTCTTTAGCAACACAGCCTGCCCCAGAGGTGAGGCAGAAGCGCCAACAATTCCGCAGAGGCCCGGGAGTTGGGGAGTTGGCTCAAAGGGGTGAGCAGGCGCCCTGCAGGAGGGAGGCTGGCTCAACGCCCCCCCACCCCTGCACCATATGGTGGTCCCGGAGCATGGAGTCACCCCTAAGCATCCCGCCCTTGAAAAAGAAGGTTCCGTGGAGAACCAACCCCAGTTCCTGGTGCAGCCTTCATCGTGCAGTGGCCGCGGTCAGACCAAGCCTGTCCGGGGCCAAGCAGGGCGCAGGTCCACCCGTTTCCCACCAGGCCCACGGCTGGCCCGCCTGCCTGCAGAGAGCAGAGTGGGGTCAGCTGCTGTACCTGCCCAGGGCCGGCTTGTTGGGGGGGGTGCAGGGGAAGTCCACCTGAGAGTCCTGACAGGTGAGATCCAAGTTATTAAGTGCCAGGTACTTTAGCGGGCGTGAATGGGATTTTTTTTGGGGAGGGGGTTCTTGTTTCTTGCCGGGCCGGGGGAATCGAACCTCCCGCTTGCTCGCACGCAGCTCGCCACCGGCCCCTCACGGCACCTGCACCAGGTAGGCGGACGGTATGGTCCACGGGTGGCAGGCCCGGCCTGGCGGGCGGGCCGCGCAGGGGTTCTGTCCGTGGGTGTCACCGTCGCCCACGCGCCGGGCAGCCCCCCAGGCCGGGTCCCAGCAAGGCGCATGTGACCCCTCCAAGCCGGGTCCCAGCAAGGCACATTGGCACGGGCACGGGCATCTGGAGGGGACCACCGGGGACGCAGCAGGACAGTGGGGGTCCAGCCTGTCAGGGAGGGAGTCCGGCCCGGCCACGTCAGAGGGTCCCTCCCGCAGGCAGCCGGGCCGGCGCCCAGCAGCTGCCAGTCCCCTGCCGGGCGCACCGGGGTGGTCACGGGTCTCCGCGCCGGCCGGCCCGACTCCACTGGGCCAAAACCCACGTCCCGGGCCCCAGGTGCACCTGGGCGGGGGCCGGGGAGGCCACGCCGGGGTTCGGGCCCAGCTCCCCGCGGCCTCCGGGGTCCACGTCATCGGGACTCCGCCCCCCGGGCCGGCGGCTCAGCCGAGCCCCCGAAGGTTCCCTGCACGCCCGCGCCCCCTGGCGCGCACACTCAGACCCGTCCTGCCGACGCACCGCCCACCCGAGTCCTCCGGCCGCCGCCGTGACCGGGCCGGCGGGGTAAACTGAGGCAAGGGACGGGCCTGCGAAGAAAGGGGGGGTCTTCTCCCCCGACCCACACCGGAGGGCCCGGAAAAGCGGCCCCCCCTCCCCTCCTTCCACGCACGGGGACCGGCAGGGAAGGAGGAGGAAGAAGGGGAGGGGAGGAAGGGGGAGGTGGGCGCCCGAAAGCCAGCAGGGGGTCCCAGGCGCCGGCCCGGCCCGCCACACTCAAGATGGCGGCGCGGCGGCGGCGAGGTCCCTCAGAGGCGGTGCCCGCGCATGCGCGGCGCGGAGTCCCGGCCCGGGACACAAGATGGCGGCAGCGGCGCTGGGGAGGGCGAGGCGGAGGCGGCAAAACGGGCAGTCGAACACGACGTGTAGCCGCGTCCCCCCGAGTCCGCTCCGGGCAGGTAAGCGCCCCAGGAAGTCACGGTCCCGCTTCGAGCCGCGCCAGGGTCCGGGGCTCCGAAGCCGCGCGGCGGCGGCCCCTCCGGCGCTTCCCGCTCGCGGCCACCGCTCGCTCCGTCGCAGCCGCCGCCGCCATCTTAGGCCCGCGGGTGGGCGGCGGGGCCCGGGGCCGGGCTGCGGGAGCCGGGCCCGGCGAGCGCGGGCGGAGCGGCCGCCAGGGCCCCTGCGCCGCCGCCGCCGCCACCGCCTTTGTGTCGGGCTCCGACTCTGAGTCGCCTCAGCCCGGGGGCGGGAGCGCGCGGCGGGGCGGGGGGCGGAGCCCGGCTCAGGGGCCGGCGCGCGCGCGCCTCGCAGCCCGCCCTCGCCGGGCCCGGGGGAGGCGGGAGGGCGCGCGCGCGCCCGGGGCCGCCCGCCCCGCCCTGCCCCGCCCCGCCCCGCGCCCGCCTGTGCGCGCGCCCGGGCCTGCGCCTGCCCGCGCCTGCGCACTCCGCCCCGCTGCGCAGGCGGCTCCTGATTGGCGCCGCGGAGCCACGCTCCCGCCCCGTCCTCCTCCAATCGGGGCTTTGCCTCGGCCCCGGTGGCGCAGGTTCCCCGGCGCGGCCCTTTTGCACCTTCTCGGGGCTGGAGCGATAGCACAGCAGGGAGGGCGTTTGCCTTGCACGCGGCCGACCCGGGTTCGATTCCCAGCATCCCATAGAGTCCCCTGAGCACTGCCAAGAGTGATTCCTGAGCATCGCCCGGTGTAACCCAAAAAGAAAAAAAAAAAAAAAGTTCCTTCTTAGTGAGGCCGAGTCATGCCGGTGTAGATAAAAAGCGGCCGAAAGGCCAGGACCAGACCTGACCGCCTGTGTTCCAGGTCACCTGGAAAGCTAAAAATTATTTTTCTTGTCATCGTAAATATTGGTAAAGGTTTAAATCATGTAAAGTGGGAAAAAAAATAACTGATTCTCCGCGCTCACATTTAAAAACACAAATTGGGGGCCGGAGAGACAGTGCAGTGGGTCGGGCACTTACTTGCCTTGCACGCGGCCTCAGCCCGGTTCCATCCCTGGCATTCCATGTGGTTTTCTCGAGTACTGCCAGGAGTAACCCCTGAGCATAGCTGGGTATGGCTCGAAACAAATTATTATTAACAAATACAAAATGTGAATTCTGTGTACCTTCCTCTGCATTTCTGGTGGCTGAGATGTAGAGTGAGGGTCTGTAATACGAATTTTTTAAAAGAAGGCATCTGCAGAGTTCCCGCTGGGTGTCATTCAGCTGTGCTGCCGCCTTCGATAAAGACGAACACGATGTGTTTGCTATGTAATGCGTTTGTATGTCTGCTCCTTTTAAAGACCGGAATCAAGGAGTGTGCTTCACTTGTGGACACCTTGCGATCGTACCCCCAGATCTGTGATATTGTATGTTTGTTCACTTTCCTCTCATCGGGGTTACTTTGGTTGAAAATCCATCTATATTGGTGCTGCAGCAATATGACAGGTGGCAGGGAGGGCATTTGCCTTACAGGTGGCCAGCCTGGGTTTGATCACGGGCACGTATGGTGCCTTGAGTCCCGTCAGGAGTGATGCTGGGTGTAGAGCCAGGAGTAAGCCCTGAGCACCCTGGGTATCCAGAGAGAGAGAGAGAGAGAGAGGACAAAATGTCAAACTATAAAATGCTTCATTTTTCAGGACTGGAGCAATAGCACAGCGGGTAGGGCCTTGCACGCAGCCAACCCAGGTTCGATTCCCAGCATCCCATATGGTCCCCTGAGCACTGCCAGGAATAATTCCTGCGTGTATGAGCCAGGAGGAACCCCTGTGTTACTCCGGGTGTGACCCAAAAAGCAAAAAAAAAAAAAAGCTTCATTTTTCAAGACAAAAGTATGGTCCGTTTATTAAAAATCATTCACAATTTCTGGAGACAGCTGGGCAGATGGCTCAGAGGCAGAGCATGTGCCTTGCATGTGTGAGGCCCTGGACTCATCACCACTGTGGGGGAAACTCTGGCCAGAGATAGAGCTCCTGGTAGAACCGTACCTGCCTGTATGGGACCCCGAGTTCCATCCGTGGTGTTGCAAATCTGTGTCTGTACTATCAAGACCCAGGGCAGAGCATCCAACCCGAGTGCTCCCCTGTGACTGTGCAGGTCGCAAGGCCACGAAGGGGAGCCTGTCGGTTGGAGAGCTGGAGGAGGACAGTCTTCTGTCTGAGCCCCCGGGCCTCGCCTATGTGTCCTGCCCTGCCCCGGGGCACTCGGCGTGTCCTGCTGTGGTCTCCGAGCTGCAGTTTCCCCAGGTCTGAAACTCTTCTCTCTGTTTGCTCTGCAGCTGCTGACGCAAGGAGTCCCCTGGGCCCCTGTCCAGTCGACTGCTGACAAGCCCACCCGCCTGTGCCGCGCCTTCCCGCGGGCTCCCTCTTGCCTCAGTGGGACCCTGTGACGTGGGGGGGTCCAGCCGGCTGGAGAAGAAACCCTCTCATGCTTGCGTTGCAGACCCCAGAGGGTGAGAAAAAGAGGGACCTCGTTCTGCCTTGACACCTATGGGCTCGGCCCCCCCAAGGCACTGAGAATCCCTCCTCCCTAGAGAATCAAGGCAGCTCCAGCTTTCTCTCTCCTGGGCCAGAGGTTCCAAATCTCTCTGTTGCCTTGGCCCCCCTCCCCCACTCTGTTGTATATATGTCCTCTTGCTCCTTGCAATTTTTTTACCTGTCAGATTGTACCAATGAAGTAACCATTGATTTTTCCCTTTCCAAATTAACAAAGACATTTATGATTGAATGTACAATAAAATCTCTGTCCCAATGATTCCTATGATGTTGTCAACAACCAATCAGAGCTTCCGATCAGCATGAGATAATCAGTGTGACCACAATGAATTGATAAAAATTTCAGCAAGCAAAGATAATCGATGTTTAAACGCGCCTTTGTGGTCTCTTTGTGAGTAAATGTTTGATTTCCTTGGGGTGTTGGTGTCACGTGGAAAAACAACTATAGCCTCACCAATCCGGATCACGGCCCGGCCCTCCCTCCCGGAGTCTTAGCGGCCCCACCCCCACCCCTTGGGAACCACTTTGGCCCTGGCGGCTTCTGTTGTTGGCGTTTCGGGGTGGAGTGGGATGGGGAATGGAAATTGAGAGGAGCTGAACTGTTGTGTTTCACCCAGGAAGTCTGAGGATTCACTTAGAGGATCCGCCTGAGTCTCCCGGGGGCCTTGATTTCTTGATTTGTTGATGGGGGCGGGGGTCGAGGGAGAGATTGCCACCGTGCTACCCGACAGTGCTGTCGAAGCCTGTGATGGCGGGCATAGCACCCAGTCCCGCAAGGAGTCCCCAACTTTCAGCCCAGCCATGCGGGCCAAGGCATTTGGGCGCCAGGACCCTGTCCAGGTGCTGCGGGAGAAGGAGCAGGAGAGGACTCACTGTCCCTTCTCCGTTTCCAAGGGCAGGTCCTGTTAGGTGCCGATCGTGCTGCAGTGTAAATACTTGGAGCACGAATAGAACTGTTGGGTCTGGGTGCCGTGGACCCATTTCTTAGCGCTGGGACCTGGCAGAACAGTGGAAAGACAAACCCCACTGTTAGAAGGCTTGACTGCAGCAGTAGAGGGGCTCGTGGCCCTGCGGGCTGTGACCTCCTGGGTGTAGGGCAGGGAGGGAGAGTCAGGGCTTCCTGGTGGGAATGAGCCCAGCGAGAGTCCAGGCAGGGAGCAGTGGAGGCAGCGGCAACAGCAAGAGCGCACCCAACTGGCCGTCGAGGGAACTGCAGCTTGACTCCCAGGGCTCCTGCATCCATCATCACCTTTCCAAGCACCCCCCAGGAGAGGCCTCGAGTGGTCTCTGCACACCTGCGGGCGTGATGGGCCCTCAGTGGGTCGTACATGGGTGTGGGGCGGGTGGCGGTGCCGAGCGCCACGACCGGCAGGCTCTGACACCCTCTGGTCCTCTGTGTGGCAGGTCCGGTGTGGGTGCTGAGATGGCCAATGAGAATCACGGCAGCCCCCGGGAGGAAGCGTCCCTGCTGACTCATTCCCCAGGCACCTCCCACCAGAGCCAGCCCTGTTCTCCAAAGCCCGGCCGCCAGGTGCAGGACCTCCCAGGTACTGGCAAGGGGCGGTCGGTCGGTTGGTCGGTCGGTCGGGGTGGCAGGGCAGGCCGGGCCTCAGAGCGGCCCTGACCTGGGCTGGCCGTGCTTGTTTGCAGAGGAGCTGGTGCACGCGGGCTGGGAGAAGTGCTGGAGCAGGAGGGAGAACCGTCCCTACTACTTCAACCGCTTCACCAACCAGTCCCTGTGGGAGATGCCCGTGCTGGGCCAACACGACGTGTTTGTGAGTGCCAGGGCTCCCTGCGGGTGTCCGGGGGGGGGGGTGGGGAGGAACCCAGGCATGCAGGGACAAAGAAGGCCGTGACACCCAGGTGTGGGTGACTGGCGTTGGCCTGAGCGCCAGGGGGGCTGGGGGCGGCTGGAACCAAGATGGACACAGTCGTGTCCTGCAGGGCTATTGCATGCGGCACCTTAGGGCCCCGGGGCCAGGGAGCCGGCTCTGAATTTGTACCGAGGAGTGATAAGAGGGTGGAGAAGTGCATTCTGGGAGCTGAAGTGTCCGTGCGGTCGTGGCGGGAAGGATGGAAGGATCGAGCAGACCATGGCGGAGGGGATGCGGTGGGGGGGGCATGGGCTTTTTCTCCTCGGTTGTAGAGACAGTTCCGTTTTGCAGATGAGAACACCGAGGCTCGGAGAGGGCAGGTGACTGAGGCCAGGCTAGGCAGAGCAGGGCTGATGGCCACGCTCTCTGCTGTCCGGTTCACCGCTTTGTAGCATCACAGTTCCAGTCACAGGGCCCTGCTTTAAAAAAAAAAAATCACTTATTGAGTTTTGTTTTTATTCCCGACTTTCATGCTAGTTGCTTTTTTTTTGCTTTTTGGGTCACACCCGGCAATGCTCAGGGGTTCCTCCTGGCTCTGCACACTCAGGAATTACTCCTGGTGGTGCTTGGAGGAGCCTATGGGATGCTGGGAGTCGAACCCGGGTCGGCTGCGTGCAAGGCAAACGCCCTCCCCACTGTGCTCTCATTCCAGCCCCTCATGCTAGTTCTTAAGTAGCGCGTACTGAGCAGGGAACCTCGTGCTGGTTGTGGGGGAACCAAGACTCCTCGGCCCACTAAATCCGCTCTGGGGAGGGGGGCTCAGCTGGGTGGGAAGCTGACCTGAGGGCATGTGGCCCTCAGTCCCCGGGGGCAGTGGAACCCCAAGCGCTCTGAGCACCCCAGTGCCCGCTGCTCCTCCCCGGAAGTAGCCAGGGGAGCTGGGCGCGGGGGATGGCAGTGTTCTGTGGTGCAGGGACCCGGGGCCCCCCGGCCCTGGCTGCAGCTCTACCGGTCTCCCTTCACCAGTCGGACCCTTTGGGACTGAATGCGACCCCATTACCCCAAGAGTCGAGCTTGGTGGAAACCCCCCCAGCTGAGAACAAGACCCGCAAGCGGCAGCTCTCAGAAGAGCAGCCAAGCGGCAACGGTGTGAAGAAGCCCAAGGTGAGTGACTGCGGGTGTGCACAGCTGGCGAATGGTCGCCGCGGCGGTGGCCACCGAGGGGTGTGGTGGGGGTTGCCGGGACCCAGCGGAGCAAGGCGCGCGCTCCCCGGACCTGATGCCTTCGGACGTCTCGTTCCAGATCGAAATGCCCGTGACACCCACGGCCCCGTCGGTGCCCAGCTCCCCCAGCATCCCGGGAACCCCGACTCTGAAGATCTGGGGGGCGTCTCCCGAGGACAAGCAGCAGGCGGCGCTCCTCCGGCCCACAGAGTGAGTCCCGGGTCCGGGGTGGGAAGTGGGGTGGGGGGCTCAGTGGGTGGCGGCAGGCTGGGCGCCCCGCCCCGCTCACGGCTCTGTCCCTGCCCCAGAGTGTACTGGGACCTGGACATCCAGACCAACGCCGTCATCAAGCACCGGGGCCCCTCGGAGGCGCTGCCCCCGCACCCCGACGTGGAGCTGCTGCGCTCCCACCTCATCTTGAAGCTCCGACAGCACTACCGGGAGCTGTGCCAGCAGCGGGAGGGTAACGGGCCGCCAGGGACCCTGCAGGGCGGGCAGGGCATGTGTGCGGGGGGGGGGGGTGCCCGTGGCCGGGCGCATCACTGCTGGCTACACTCTGGCTTCCTTCTGCAAGAGGGACAGTGACAGGGCTGTGGGGGGAGGGTCAGAAACACAGGAGGAATGGTCCGCACTTCCCAGGCGCTAAAGACTTGCACCCCCAGGAGTCCGTGAGGTGCTGCCTCTGTGAGCCAGCGCACAGGCCGCTCGGTTCTGTTGGGGGCATCCCCAGCCCCGTTAATGAAAAAAGCTCTTTTGGGCCCTGCTTGAACCCGGCTCTGCTGGGGCCCGGCCCCGGCAGATGCACCCCAGGTCTTTCCTGCAGGCCTTGCCTGCTCTGGCCCGTTGTTGGCCAGCATACCCAGGCAGTCCCCTACTGTCATGCAGGCATCGAGCCCCCTCGGGAATCCTTCAACCGCTGGATGCTGGAGCGCAAGGTCGTGGACAAGGGCTCCGACCCCCTGCTGCCCAGCGACTGCGAACCGGTCGTGTCGCCGTCCATGTTTCGCGAAATCATGAATGACATTCCCATCAGGTACAACTCCCCACCCCCCCACCCCGACCCCTGCCCAGGCCTGCGGCCACCCCTGGGCTAAGACACCTGAGGACCCTAAGGCTGCCGCGCTGTCCCCCTGTCCAGGTTATCCCGAATTAAGTTCCGGGAAGAAGCCAAGCGGCTGCTCTTCAAGTACGCAGAGGCGGCCCGGAGGCTCATTGAGTCCAGGTTTGGCTCTCCCGCCCTGAGCAGCGCAGGGGTGGGCGGGGGCCTGTAGGCCGGTACCAGTGGCCGACTGACTCTGCCCTGCCTGCAGGAGTGCGTCCCCCGACAGCAGAAAGGTGGTCAAGTGGAACGTGGAGGACACCTTCAGCTGGCTCCGAAAGGACCATTCGGCCTCCAAGGAGGACTACATGGTGAGTGGACGGGGGGCCTGGGGCCTGGGGCCAGGCTGAGGCCCCTTCCTCCAGGAAGCCCACTCTGCCTGCCTGCCAGCCAGCTCGGGCAGGGCCCCACAGCAGCCTGCTCTGCCGTCACAGTGGGCCCATGGTGTGCTCCTGTGCCCCGTCCTTAGCTAGTCACCAGGGAAGAGAACGACACTGTCCTTGGGGGTGGCACTGCCCCGCACCACGCTGGACACCCTCCTCGTGTGTCTAGAACCACCCTGGTTCCTGACCACTCTCCGTCAGCACCTCTGCTGGCCTTCCTCCTCAGAACCCCGTCTCCTCAGTCAGACGCCACTGCAGGGCCAGCGCGACGGGGGCAAGTGCCCATGGTGGCCAGAGCAACTTGCTTCCCCCTCACCCTCACCCACGACAGGGCCAGGTCACAGGTGACCGCAGCCGCCCCCCAAGGGACACTCTTTGGTCCTGGCCTTCCCCCCAGTACCCTGCAGATACCCCCTCAGCGGGCACAGTGCCACCTGTCTCCTCCGCCGTCCGGACACGGGGTCCGAGGGTTGGTTGCTCCTGGCCGGCAGGCCCGGCCGTGAGCAGGAGGGCCAGGCCTCGGCGAGTCCGAGATGCCCGGGACCGGGTGAGGCACAGCAGCCCTGACCCGGTGTCGCCTCAGGACCGTCTGGAGCACCTGCGGAAGCAGTGCGGCCCACACGTCTCGGCCGCAGCCAAGGACTCCGTGGAGGGCATCTGCAGTAAGATCTACCACATCTCCCTGGAGTACGTCAAACGGATCCGAGAGAAGCACTTGGCCGTCCTCAAGGAAAACAACATCTCAGGTGGGCACCCTCACGCGCCCAGTGGCTGCTGTTTGAGCCCCCTGCCACTGGCCTCTCTCCCCAAACCCAGGGTTCACCCCCAGAGTGCTCGAGCTAGGGATGGGGGTGGCGTAGCCCTGGCACTCCGACAGCAGGCCCACAGGGGTCCGGCTGGCCCAGCTGAGCTCCGCACCCTAGCACGGAGGACACGGGAGGGGGTCTTTAGGCCCCTCACTGCGCGTCTGCCCACAGAGGAGGTGGAGGCGCCCGAGGTGGACCCCCGCCTGGTGTACTGCTACCCGGTCCGGCTGGCTGTGCCCGCGCCCCCCATGCCCAGCGTGGAGATGCACATGGAGAACAACGTGGTCTGCATCCGGTACAAGGGCGAGATGGTCAAGGTCAGCCGCAACTACTTCAGCAAGCTGGTGAGCGCGGGGGCCGGGGCGGGGACCAGTCCCGGCGCCGGGGGTGGGGAGGCGCCCGCAGCCACCGCTCTCTCTCCCCAGTGGCTCCTTTACCGCTACAGCTGCATTGACGACTCCGCCTGGGAGAGGTTCCTGCCCCGGGTCTGGTGTCTTCTCCGGCGGTACCAGGTACAGGGCCCCGGGCGGCCGGCGCGGGCTCCCCCGGGGGATGCGGGGAGGCGTGCCCAGGGCGGGGGGCTGACCGTGCCACCCCGCAGATGATGTTCGGCGTGGGCCTCTACGAGGGCACGGGCCTGCAGGGCTCGCTGCCCGTGCACATCTTCGAGACCCTCCACCGGCTCTTTGGGGTCAGCTTCGAGTGCTTTGCCTCGCCACTCAACTGCTACTTCCGCCAGTACTGCTCTGCCTTCCCCGACACCGACGGCTACTTCGGCTCCCGAGGGTGAGCGTCCACCCTGTCCCCCCCCTGGGCGGCCGCTGCTCGTCCCGGGCTTGGTGTGACCCTGTCTTCCCCCCCCGCCGCCACTCTCGGACATGTCACCCCAGCGGGGCTTCCTGGGTGGCCGCAGGGTCCGCCACCAGCAGGCTCAAGGGTCTGCGGCATCTGGGCCTCATGCATGGCCCTGGTCCGGCGTGGCCGGCCGGACCACCCTGAAACTAGAGCCGGTAGCAGGGCACGTGCCTTGCGTGTGGCTGGCCTGGGCCGGGCCCCTGGCATCGTGTATGGTTTCCCCAAGCCCACCAGGACTAACGCCTGAGCGTCACCGGGGGCGGCCCCCCCAAGAAATGGGGGCCAGAAGGGCGGACGCGGCTGGCCGGTGGGGCTGAGCGCACCTCTGTCCTCAGGCCCTGTCTGGACTTCTCGCCGCTGAGCGGCTCCTTCGAGGCCAACCCCCCCTTCTGCGAGGAGCTCATGGATGCCATGGTGTCTCACTTCGAGGTAGGGGCTGGTGCCGGGGTGGGCAGCTGGGAGCGGAGCTTGGGGCGGCCCTCACTGGCCCCGGCCCCCCCGTCCTCTCCCCTCCCCCAGAGGCTGCTGGAGAGCTCGACGGAGCCGCTGTCCTTCATCGTGTTCATCCCCGAGTGGCGGGACCCCCCCACCCAGGCGCTCACCCGCATGGAGCAGAGCCGCTTCAAACGCCACCAGCTGGTCCTGCCCGCCTTCGAGCACGAGTACCGCAGCGGCTCCCAGCACATCTGCAAGAAGTGGGTGCTGGGGGAGGCAGCGGGGGCGGGGGCGGGGCGGGTGGCCGGGGCGCCCTGAGCAGCTGCCTTTGCCCCTGTCCGCAGGGAGGAGATGCTCTACAAGGCCGTGCACAGCACCGTGCTGCTCTTCCTGCAGAACGAGCCGGGCTTTGCCAAGTGGGGGCCGACGCCCGAGCGGCTGCAGGAGCTGACCACCGCCTACCGGCAGTCGGGCCGCAGCCACAGCTCCTCTTCCTCCTCCTCCTCCTCCTCCTCCTCGGAGGCCAAGGACCGGGACTCGGGCCGGGAGCAGGGCCCCAGCCGGGACGCTCACCCCACCTAACAGAGCCTGCAGGGAGGAGGAGCCCCCGCGTGCTCGTGTGGACTGTCGGGGCCCGCCCCTGGGCCACCAGGGACACAGCAAGACGATGGCGCAGCCTGGGCTCCCCTCCCTGCCCCCACCCCCAGCTCCCACCTCAGACTCACTCCAAGACCCCTGTACATAGGCTCGCTGCCTGCCCCTCCTCCCGCCACCCGTTTCATTTGTAAAGGAAAATACAGACGCCCTCTCCGGAACGCGTGAGGGTCTTACAGGTGGAGCGGGCTGAGGAAGCGGGAGCCTGTTTGTCCCCCCACCCCCAACCCCCCTCCAGGCTCCTGTCCACACCCTCCCACGGCAGGGGGCAGCAGGGAGCCGGAGGGGCTGCCCTCCAAGGCTGAGGTACCCGGCTGGGTCCCCCACCAGGGTCCTTCCTACGTCAGGCCTGCCTGTACTTACAGAGACGGCAGGGGTGCCAGGCGGCACCCTCTCCCGCCCTCTGGGGCCTCTTCTCCCAGGTCCTTGCCTGGCGTGGGGTGTGGCAAGGGGGACGAAGCAAGCTGGCCAGAGCTGGACTCCAGGCCCTTTATTATAGAGACTGAGGGTCCATCCAAACAAAAATAAATTTCTCTCCCAAAGCCCGCCTGCAGGCTGGGGCCCCCAGCACGTCTGGGCGCAGAAGCCTGCCACCGGCCCCTGGACCCGGTGGAGCGGGACCAGCTCCTCGAGCGGGAGGGTCTCGGCTGGCCTGAGCCCGGAGCCCCCGGGGTACGAGGGAGCTGTCCCGGGGGCCTCCCCGGCTCAGGGCCGAGCCTGGTTCCACGGTGTGTGCTGGCTGGGCCTGGGCTCAGTCATCAGTCAGGGTGATGACGTCGTACTCGATGCCCTGGTGCTGCAGCTGCTGGATGTGTTCGGGCACTGTCTCCTCGGTGCCAAACAGGCCCTGGGCCTGGGCCATGGCAGCATCGGCCACTGCTGCCAGGGGAGGGAAAGGTGGGTGAGCCAAGGCCTGGGGGCACGCTCTGGCCCAGGCCCCTGCAGGCCAGCACCCAGTACCTGTGACGGCCGAGTGCGCGGCGGCCTCCAGCTGGGCCTGAGTGACGAGCTGCTGGCCTGGTGACACGGGCACATACTGGATCTGCAGGGAGACATGGGTCAGAGGCAGCTGGGGGGGGGCGCGGGGGGCGTGTGGGGCGGCCCTGGTCCCAGGCACCTACCTGGGACTCCTGCAGAAACGGGGTTCCTTGTTCGTACTGGATGTGCGTGATCCGGCCCTCCTGGACCTGGCAGGGAGCCACCCGTGAAGGGGAGCGCGGGCCCTCCCCGCACGCCCCTGCCCCGCCTCCGCTCCCAGCCTACCTGGATGTGATGGCCCTCGGGGACCACGACGTATTCCTGGGGGAGCAGGTGCTGGACTCCGTCCTGGGAGATGATGTACTGCACCTGCGTGGTGGGGAGCAGGCGGGTGGGTGCGGGACCCCTCGTGAGACCTGGGGGAGGCAGACAGGCCCGCTCCACACCCCCCACCCCCTCCGGGAGAGCTGCGAGCTGGGCCCAGGGGAGCCCAGAGCGGCAAGCGCGGCTCACCTGGTTGTCAGAAGTCACCAGGTGCTGCACGGTCTGGCCGTCGGCCGTGATTTCCTGGATGTAGGTCGCTTCTTCCTGCAGGGGAGCTCCGGCCTTAGCCCCGCCCCGCCCCGGCCCGGCCCCGCCCCCAGCCCCGCGGGCTCCCACCTGATTGGTCACCGTCTGCTCCTGGGCCACGATGATGTGTTCCTGGCCCAAGGCCTGCTGGAGCCGGTCCGGGCCCAGCACCCCGTGACCGGACTGGAGGGCGGCTGGCAGAGAGGACAGCGGCTAGTCCGGGCTCGGGGGAGCCCCGACCCCCCCCACCCCCGCGCTCCCCGGCGGCTCACTGTGGAGAGTGGCCAGGGTCTCGTCGTCGCTGTTGAGGATGATGGTCTGGGTGGGGGTCCGGGCGGGGGCCCGGGACGTAGGGGTCCCCGTCTTCCGCCCGTCGGGGCTGTGCAGCCGCTGGATGTGGAACTTGAGGTGCCCGTTGCGGTTGAAGCTGCGGGGGAGGCAAAGGGCTCAGGCGCGCCCCTCCCCCCACCCCCCCTCCGCTCCGCCCTGCCCCACCCCGCGCCCACGGCCCTGGCCTCACCGCTGCCCGCAGAGGTGGCAGGCGAAAGGCTTCTCGTTGGTGTGGGTCAGCACGTGCCGCCGCAGGTCCTTCTTGTTCTTGGACGCGAAGCTGCACTGGCTGCACTGGTGCGGCCGCAGGCTGGAGTGCTGGGCCATGTGCGCCTGGAAAGGGCAGGTCACGCCTGCAGCGGCACGCAGGTGCACACGAGGACACGCGCGCGCACACACACACGTGCACGCAGGCATGCATGCACACCGGCAACACCTGAGGGGCCCAGCAGTGCTGGGCGGCACCTACCCGGACCTCTGGCCACTGGCAGGCACTGAAGGGGCAGTCGGGGCACTTGAAGGCACTAGGCCCAGCGTGGGCCCGTTTGTGACTCTCCATCTCCGCCCGGCCCGCAAAGGCCTCGGCACAGATCTTGCAGGAAAACTTCTTGGAGGAGGCTGCCGTCGGGGGCGAGGGGGGCACCGCCAGGCCCACGGTTCGACTGGCTGCAGGAGGGGGGGAAGCAGAGGCCTGGGGGTCCGCCACCCGGGGGGTCCGGGATGGAGACGGGGGCTCAGTGCTATCTCTGGGCAGCCCCGCAGGCTGTAGCAGGGGCCACTTGGCTCCGGAGGTCAGGACGTCCGGGCTCGGGAAGGAGATGGAGCCGTCCGGAGTCAGCTGCGGGGACAGAGGAGCAGGGGAGTCTGAGGGGGGCGGAGAGGTGGGAGGTGGGGGGGGCGGGCGGGGGGGATGAGCCTCACCTCTATGTGGTGCAGCTGGGTCCCATCGGTCGTCATGATGTAGTGGGTGCCACCATCCTTCAGGGGCTCGCTCACCACCACAGCCTGGGCTGCCTCCCCGGGGGGCTCCTCACTGTGGCCCAGAGACACGGGGGGGGGGGGGGGGGGGCGGTGAGCCGGGATCTGGGGCGGCCCAGCACCCCCGGGGTCCTCCCCCCACCCAGGAGATGACGATGGGGTGCCTGCGGGGTGAGTCCGGCTCTGCCCTTCACATTGAGGTCGGGGCGCTTGGGTGGCCCCCGCCCCCCCCCAGCACTGGGGCAGGTGAGCAGGGGCGAGGGCTCTTGGGACTCGGGGGTCCCTGAGACCACTGGGGATGCAGTGAGCCCCTCCCCCCACACAGAAGTGCGAAGGGGTCAGTGGGAAAGTGATCTTGGATCTCCGAGCTCGCAGCTGGCCCCACCGGGACTCACGGGTAGATCGCCAAGCCCACTGCCTGCAAGGCACCCGAGGGCCCAGAACACGGTGCCGTGGGCTGTGCCCCGGGCCTGTCTCCGGGGGTAAAGGAGGGGCAAGGGCCCCAGGGGTTGGGCACAGGCTTTGGCGGAAGGCGCCCTGGGCTCCAGCACCAGCTCTGCAGGGTTGGACCAAAATCAGAAGAGGTAGGTGACACGTGGACACCACGGCAGGCCTGTGGATGCAGGGGAGCCCTGTCCGCCCACACCCCCCAGGCCTGCCTGGGCTCACCTGTAGGGGGTGCCGGGAGCGGAAGTCCCCTCCTCCATGGGGGGGGCCGTGATGACGCTGTAGCCAGTCCCGCCAAACGCCCCCGGGGCCAGGGTGATCTGCTGCAGGTCTGGGGCCCCCAGCGGGCTCTCAGCGGTCACACTGCCCCCCGGCTCTGCCACGTGCAGCGTCACCACTTGTGGGGCAGCTCCCACTGAGGACGGCTGTCGGCCCGCGGGGGCCAACTCTGCACCCACATCCTCCGACTTCACCACGGCCACCTGCAAGGACAGCGGCAGCGGGAGGTGCTCAGGGCCCACCCTGCCTCAGCGCCCCAGGTTTCTTCCGTGTTGTGGCAGACCCTCTGTCCCCCGGACACGTGCTCCTCCTGAGACCCACTTGGCTCCCCAAATCCCGGTGGCAGCGAGAGGCCGCAGGTGGTAAGGCCGGAGTAGGCCACCGGCAGAAACTGCGGATGTTTACGTCACGACCACTCACATGGAGGGGTCCAAGGGAGGATGCTGCCAAGCATCTCCCAGAACAAAGAACAGGTGCCCCCCCCAACCGACCCTCGCCAGATTACCCCCAAATTCAAGGCTGCGACATCCAGGGCCGAGTCACAAGCAGGAAACCGTATGTGGGAAGCACCATGTCTAACGGGAGGCTAAAGGGAATAAAGCTCTAAGTATTTCTAAGGAAAACACAGCGGATGTGTCATTTTATCACCGAACGGCAACAGATGGAGATGCTAAAAGCCACAGCAGAGGGTGGGTGCCCCCTGGTGGGTGGGCGCAGAGGCAGCAGGGGTGACACTGCTCCCGGGGAGGGGAAGGTGGCCGGGCAGAGTCAAGGCCAGAGTGTGGAGAGAGGACTCCAAGCTGACCCCCAGTTGGTAACGATGCCGTGAGGCCCTGGGGTCGCAGAGGCCAGGGCAGGGCAGGGACCACCTCGAGGGGCGCCCACACAAACCAGGAGGCCAGACGCGTCTGCCCCTACCCCCACCTGGACTTCCAGGCTGATGGTGTTTGTTTTGGGGCCATCCCCGGCGGTACTCAGGGCTTATTACTGACCCTGTGGGGGGCTGGGGAATCGAACCGAGTTGGCTGTGTGCCAACCCATGCCCTCCTGGCTGTGCTATTGCTATTGTGCTGATGCTGTTCAAATGTGCGTGGGTGTGCGTGTCGGAGGCCCTGCCCTGAGCTGGCCTGAAGGACCCTGGGGGCAGGGTAGCCACACTCAGCCGTGCTGGCAGCTGAGAAGGAAAGGCAGGTGGGCATGTTCAGAGTATGCTCCCAGGGTTTCAGGAATAAGAGGGCTTGGGGCTCCCTGCAGCGACCACCACCTGTCTGATCAAAGGCCCTCGTGTCTGTAATCAGCTGCTTCTACCACGGGCCCAGGCCAACGTGGGCCACGCGACATGCCTTCTGTATACAGCTCTCCACCCAGGGCTGCCTGGTACTTCTCAGGCGAGGGTCCGGAGAAAGCACGGGGGTTACGGCACCACCTACGGCCGCCCCCACCAGTGCCAGGAGTGATTTCCGAGCACAGAGCTAGAGGAAGCCGTGCGCATTGCTGACGTGGCTCCCAAGGGTTGCTTTTTAGTAAAAAATTTTCAGTGAAAGAAAATTTCTTGGGGCTGGAGCGATAATAGCAGGTAGGGCTTTTGCCTTGCACACAGCTGACCCAGGTTCGATTCCCAGCATCCCATATGGTCCCCTGAAGTACTGCCAGGAGTAATTCCTGAGTGTAGAGCCAGGAGTAATCCCTGTGCATCGCCAGGTGTGACCCAAAAAGCAAAAAAAAAAAGTAAAAGAAAGTTTCTTGGGCAAAAAGAGATGGAGGGGCTGGAGTGACAGCTCAGCAGGAGGGTACTTGTCTTGTATGCTGCTGGCCTGGGTCCGAGCCTTGGCACCCCAGATGGTCCCCCTGAGCCCGCCAGGAGTGATCCCTGAGCACAGAGCCAGGAGTTAAGCCCTGAGCACTGCTCTAGTGTGGCCAAAATACAAAACAAAACAAAAAAACAGGGGCTTGAGAGTGGGAGCAGTTCAAGAAGCCCCGCTCCAAGGCCCTCTCAAAGATCAGTTTTGGTTTTCTTCCACGGCTGGGCACGTCAGGCCGCCTGGCAGACCTGGTACATCAGGGCCTCTGGTCTGGAGCAGGCCCCCTCAAAGAAAGGGGGCCCGTGTGGAGCAGTCACAGATTCGACACACGCTCGGCCCCAGACAGCCGTCATGGGAACCGAGTCAGGCCCTGCCTTCCCGTGTACACGGAGCAGAAATCCCAGGAGCAGGCGAGGTTCGAGTGTAAGGAGTGAAAACCCCAAGAAGAAACGGGACCAACAACGAAGGCTCACGGTGGAGGCGGGGGAAGGCGTCTCCAGGGACAACACCGAGGACAAAACCGACGCAAGGTGGACGCTGGTGTCCCCTTCATACCCGAGGACCCCGGTCCTTCCTGGCCAGCCCTTCCCGGTTCCCCAGGCGTGTCCTGGGCCCAGCCCCGCAGCAGGGGGGCCCGCCCAGGAACACCGCTGGCGCTGCCGAGTCTCGGGCCGCGTGGCCGCAGCGGAAAAACTCTCTAGCTCTGGGGGGAGCAGAGATGGTGACCCTGGGGAGGGGCTGCTGGCCAGAGCAGTGCCCCAGACGCACGGCTGAGCTCCGGGACCCTGACCCCGGGCACAGCCGAGTGTGTCCCCCACCTGCAGGGCGGCGCCCGCCAGCTCCCGCTGGGCGCTCATGTTCAGCAGCAGGTCCAGGGCTGTCTGTGTGGCCATTGCGGTGGACTCCTCAGCGCCTGGGTGGAGGGGACCTGAGCTTTACCAAGGGTGGGCAGACGGGCCCCCGGTGAGCGCCATGACCCCTGCCCCACTTCCCGGCCCCTCCTCGGCTCACCTTGCTGGTAGATGACGGTGGCGCCCCCCAGGGGGTCCGAGCACAGCAGCTGGGGCGTCTCCGCTGACTGGAAAGGAGTTGCCTCGGGGGGGTCCTGGGGAGGGGACACGACTGTGCCTGACGGGGCCATCGGACCGAGTCCCTGCTGGGTCAGACATTCCCTGGACCCACCCCACGGCCAGGACTCTCTCGGCACACACAGGCCCAGAGCTTGGCAGGGTCGGCGGGCAACACCTCAGCCACGGGCCTGTTCCTCAGCCTCCCCAGTGGCAACGCAAAGTGGTCCAGACGGCTACGCTGAGGCTCCAGCAAAGTCCACAGGGAAAACAGATACATGCGAAGTGACCAGCTTTCCCCCTGCCCACCTCGTCTTCCGGCATTTTCCCTGAAAGGTGGCTTGGAAGGCTGGAGCTCCTGCAGCTATGCTGCGCCACGAGGCAACCACCACGGCCCTGGCTTAAGAGGGCTGGGGTGAACCCCTGACCACCACGCAGTGGCAGGGCCGGCAGAGACGTCGCTGCCCCGTACGGTCCTGGCCCGCCCTTCCGTCAGCCACGGCCCCAGGAGGGGCTTACCTCGGGCGGCGCCAGGGAGCTGGGGGGTGGCCCGGGGGCCGTGCTGTGCTGCTGCTTCAGTTCCTCGATCTGCTGCAGAGAGAAGAAGGGGCGCCGGCGGGAGGGGGGCTCCTCGGGGTGGCGCCGCCCCCACTCCTCAAAGCTGCTGGCATGTCGGCAGCGCACGTGCAGACGCAAGTTCTTCTTGTGGCGGGTGCTGAAGTGGCAGTACTCGCAGGCGAAGGGCTTGGCACCTGCGGGCACAGCAGAGGCTCGGAGAGGAGCGCCCGGGGTCCCAGCCAGCAGATGCCAGCTCAGGGGCAGCACCCACTCCAGGCCGCACCCACCTCCCGGCCAGGCACTGCTGAGTGGAGAGGGGTCCCAGGAGGGCAGAGGGGGCCACAAAGGGGGCAGCGGCTGGGTGGGCGGGCGGGCGCTGGGGTGGGGAGCAGTGACCCCCAAGCCCAACTCTCATAACAGCGGAAGGAGCCGCAGGGGAGGGCAGGGCAGGGCGAGAGTCTGGCGGGACAGGGTCGGACCTGTGTGCTTCACGGCCACGTGGGAAAGCAGGAAGTCCTCCCGGAAGGTGCGGTAGGGGCAGAAGCTGCACTTGAAGGGCTTGTCGCTGACGTGGGACAGCTGGTGGTTCAGCAGCGCCTTCTTGTCCTCGCAGACAAACTCGCAGAACTCACACTTGAACCTGGGGGTGGCCGGGGGGGCAGCTCTGGGCCGGGACTCCGCAGGGCATAGGGGAGGGGCGGTCCCGTGGGCGGGGCTTGGACATGTGGGCGGGGCTGGTGGCTGTGGGCGGGGCTGGACTGCGAGGTGGGTGGAGCTGGAGGCGGGGCGCTGGCCCAGGGTCCTCTGGGGACCCCCTCAGGACATACCTGCGGTTGGCCACCGCCTGGATGTGTGTGAGCAGGTGCATCTTGAAGGTGTAGCGCTTCTTAAAGGACTTTCCACACTGGGAGAGGATGGGGGGGGGAGAGTGACTATGGGCCCCTCACCCCCCGCAGTGGAGGCCCTGTCCCCCCTCCCCCGCCAAACGTCCAGCCTGGCCACCTTGTCACACATGTGGGGCTTCTCGGTGCTGTGCGTCTTCATGTGCTGCGTGAGCCTCTTCTGCATGGGGTACACGCGGCCGCACACGGGGCAGGGGAAGGAGCTCAGCTTGGGGCTCTGCGGGGGGACAAGGCTGCATGGGGGCGGGGATCCTGCACACTGGGGCCTCCCTCTGGCCACCCGAAAGCACCCCCCACCCTCCCACCCCCGGCTGTCCCCCCACCAGACTCACGGGATCTGGTCTCTTCTTCCTGGGGAGAGAGGCACAGGCGTCAGATCACCCCTGCCCCAGCCCCGTCTCAGCTCGGAGCACCCCCACTGCCCACCCAAGCCCCCTTCTCCTGGGGAAGGGTCTCCCTGGCAGGGTGGGCTGGGGATGATGCTGCAGGCACAGCCAACAGCTGTTCTATCCTGGCAGAGTCACACACTAAAGGCCCTGAGAAGTCCTGCAGGAAAGAATTGGGGGTTCAGCCTATGGGGGTCCCTAATCTCACACACAGGACTCCCCCTTTCTAATAGAAAACTGGCTCTCCCCCACATTCAGTTTGAGAGCCACTGTCCCCCCAGCTGTGCTCCCAGCCCTGAACCCGAGAAGGGGTCTCCTTAAAGTGGCATGGGACCGGGGGCGCCCCCAGAGCCCGGAATATCAGTCTTCCAAGACTGGTTCCTCAGAGTATGGAACGAGGGCCCGGGGCCCAGGTCTCGCCGCCCGCTCACATGGTCTCCCACAGCCCCAGTAGTGATTGTCGCGGGGAAGGGCCGCTGCTGTCCCTGACTCCTTGGGGCAGGGCCCCGCTCGACCATCTCTCAAGAGCTGTAGGGGCGGCCCAGAGCGTCCCCCGCTCCCACTGACCGGTCCCGGCTGTGCACGGCGGCGTGACGGATGACGTCCTTCCGGTACACACTGGTGTAGCTGCACTCATCACACTTGTACGGCTTGCTGCCCACGTGGTTGAACATGTGCTCCTGGACAGGCAAAGGGTGGTCAAGTGTGCCAAGACCTGGACTCCCCAACGCTGACCCACCGTGCCTTGGCCTTGGAGCCGCTGCAGTGTGGGCTGGCACACCCGGGGTGTGCTGGAAGGCTGGTGGGCACCTCCCCCACCCCGAGCAGGCAGCCAGCCTTCACTGGACAGAGGCAGAAACATGCTCTGAGGGGGCCAGCTGGGTCCACTGAGTCCCGCAGGGTGGCTGCACTGAGCCCCACACTCAGGGCTCCCCCTCAGGGCTGGACATGAGCCCCCTGCACGCATGCCATACATGTGTATACACACACACACACACACACTCAGGGCTCAGGGCTCTCCCTCAGTGCTGAGGGGGACTGAGACCAACCCCTAGAGGGCTCTAACAGATGAGTGAATAAAGAAACTAGTACACCTATTCAATGAAATACTACACAGTCATAAAGAAAAATGAAGCTGTGAAACTTGCATATATATGGATGGATAGGGGCTGGAGTGATAGCCCAGAGGGTAGGGCGTTTTTCTTGCATGCAGCTGACCCAGCTGACACAGGTTCGATTCCTCCGCCCCTCTTAGAGAGCCCAGCCAGCTACCAAGAGTGTCTCGCCCGCACAGCAAAGCCTGGCAAGCTGCCCGTGACACATACACCAAACACAGTAACAAGTCTCACAATGAGACATTACTGGGGTCGCTCGAGCACATCGATGAATGACGGGAGGACAGGGCTATGGTGCCATGGATGGACATGGAGAATGTCACGCTAAGCGAAGATGAGTCAGAGGGACAGGGATGGACACGAAATTATCAAACTCATTTGTGGATATAAAAACCAACATAGCGGGGCTGGAGCGATAGCACAGCGGGTAGGGCGTTTGCCTTGCACGCAGCCAACATGGCCAACCCAGGTTCGACTCCCAGCATTCCATATGGTCCCCCGAGCACCGCCAGGAGCAATTCCTGAGTGAGTGCATGAACCAGGAGTAACCCCTGTGCATCGCCGGGTGTGACCCAAAAAGCAAAAAAAAAAAAAAGGGGGGGGGGGAAGGAGAAGCTGCTACCCCTTCCTGGAGACCCGTGACTGCCCCCTGCTGGAAGCCTTCGGGACTGCAGTGGACAAAACCAGCTTTCCTGCCAGGGGCCCAACGCCTGGCCGGGCGTCACCGGCTGATGATGCCCCAGATGCCCCAGGTGAACCGTGTCCCGGAGACACCTCCCAGGGACAGGGGCGTGTGCCCCCGTGTGCCAGACCCCCCTCCCCCGGCTGCCCGCCCGCCCGCCCGCCAGCGCCCCGCACCTTTAGCGAAGACCAGCGGCGGGAGCGGTAGCTGCACTGCAGGCACTTGAAGAGCTGCGGGTCGCCGGGCTCGTGGGAGCTGACATGGAAGCGCAGGTCCTCGTGGGACAGGAAGCGGGAGCCGCAGATGCGGCAGAGGAAGGGTCTCAGCAGGGGCTTGGGGGACTTGTAGTAGTACCTGCCCGAGGGGGAGCAGGCGTCTGGGGAGGCCCGGGGTCTCGCTGTCTCCGGGTCCCCACCCCGCCCCACCCCCGCCCCACGTACTTGCGGTATTTCTTGCCCAGGAAGCGGCGGGACGGCCGCCCGCGCCTGCGGGGTGGCATGTCGGCCTCCTCCTGGCCGGCCGGGGCAGCGCCATTGGCCTCCGACTGGCTCACGCCAGGTTCCGCGGGGGCCCGCGCGGCTGGGCTCGGCGCCGTCAGCTGTCCTGGGGCAGATGAACTGGGCGCTTCGGGATCCTGGGGCTCCGGAGGGGGCTGTGTGCTCTGGGAACTCACGAGAGGCTCCTCCCCGGCACCTGGGAAAGATGAGCTGGCCTCACACCCGCCCCGCACGCCGTCCCCAGTCCCGGCAAACGCAGGAGCCGTGTCCCCTCCAGCAGCAGACACGTTGCCCCGTGCCCAGGCTCCAGTGCGGGTCTGGGGCAGCGGCCCGAGGGCTGGGAGCGCCAGAGGCCAGGCTGGCTCCTTTCTGGAGAGGCAGCCGCGCAAGCCAACCCTCACGAAGGTCACTCCAGAGCCTCCAGGGACCAGGGTCTGGGCAGCACAGGCAGCTATGGCCATCCCGCGGGACGCCAAGGGCGGAGGAAGGACAGGCCAGGGGCCAGGTTCGTAAAAGCCCCTTCAACAGGCGGGGGAAGAGCTCAGTGGCACGGCGTAAGTGGGACACCTGGGTTGGACCCCCAGCGCGCGCGCGCGCACACACACACGCACACACACACGCACACACACACACACACACACACACACACACACACACCCCACCACCACCACTAAGAACACCAGCGTGAGGCCCGAAGGACTCGAACACACTGCCCACTCCGAGATTCCAGCAGGTTCTAGAAACGATGCAGACAAGGCTTGGGGCCCCCCTGGCCAGGTGTGCTCATCTAGGGAACATCTGAGAGTGCTCACTTTGTGTACACCCCTCAAGGGACCACCGCCTCGGTCATGTGACTTCAGAGAGGACACAGGCCCCAGCCCCCTGGGGCCTGCCCGCGCAGGACCAGCCTGGGGACGTCTCTGGGCCCCCTGAAGTTGCAGCGGCACCTGCCATCTCACGTGGCTGGGAACCGGAGACTCAGCCAGGCACCCAGCGAGGGGGGTTGGAGGGGACATTTGAGCCCAGGCCTGGGCACTGCCCACTGTGCCCAGCCCGGAGTGCAGGCGCAGGACAGAGTCGGGCCCCCGAGGCGTCATCCTTTCAACTCCACTACAGGGTCAGTCCTTCAGGCCCAAACTTCCCCAAACCGTGACAGCTGACCACAGCTAGGACTCGTCAAGGAGCACCCAGGGCGGGGCTGGAGCCCTAGCACAACGGGTAGGGCATTTGCCTTGCACGTGGCTGACCCGGGTTCGATTCCCAGCATCCCATAGGGTCCCCCGAGCACCGCCAGGAGTAATTCTAAGTGCATGAGCCAGGAGGAACCCCTGTGCATCGCCGGGTGTGACCCGCAAAGCAAAAAATATGGGGCTGGAGAGATAGCACAGCGGGTAGGGTGTCTGCCTTGCACGCGGCCTACTTGGGTTCGATTCCCAACATCCCATGTGGTCTCCTGAGCACCGCCAGGAGTAATTCCTGAGTGCAGAGCCAGGAGGAACCCCTGTGCGGGTGTGACCCAGAAAGCAAAAAAAAAAAATAAGGAGCACCCAGGGTGGCTTCTGAGGTGTGGCCGGGGTGGGGCGGGATGGGGGTCCCCCACCTAGACTGTGCTCCCACACTGGGGCTCTCAGTCTCATGGGCCCCAGAGAGGCCAGCAGGGCACCAGCCCTCCTGTGGACGCAGCTCACCTTGCGGGAGGTCCGCGGGGTCCAGCCGGGGCAGCTTCCGGGGGCGGCCGGGCCTCCTCCGGGGTCTCGCCGTGCTGGGGGCGGGGCGCGGAGGCCGCAGCTGCCGGCTGCGGGGCTCGTCCTCGGCCGGGTTGTAGTCACTGTCCTCTGCGGGAACAGCGAGGGGTGTGGGGACACGTGCCGGCCGCCGGCCTCCCCCTGCCGCCCCCCCGGAGCCTCGGGACCTACCTTCCAGGTCATCGATGGCACCGGCGTCCACGATGTCGTCCTCCTCCTCCTCCTCCGGGCCCTCCTCCTCCTGGGCTTTGGCCGAGGGGCCCCACTTGCGCACACGCCCCTTCTTGCCAGCCACCGCCGCTGCTGCCGTTGCCGCCGCCGCTGTGGTAGGAAGAGGAGCTCGCAGCCAGGCCTGGGCCCGGCCCCACCACACCCCCGGCGCGGCCCGGGGCAGGGGGACACACCGGGCCGGAAGTGTCGCTCCCGCATGTGGCGCAGCAGCGTGGCCTTGGTGCCGCTGCGGTACTGGCACGTCTTGCACTTGAACTGCTGCACCACCACCACCTCCATCATGGCCTCCAGGCTCTGCAGGTCCGGCTCCTCGGCGCCCAGCGGCAGCTGAGTGGGGGAGCCTGGCCCGGCCCGCGCCTCCTCGGGGGGCTCCAGACACGTGGAGGTGGGGCCGTCGGCGAGGGCCTCGATGGTGGCCAGGCTGTGAGCCAGGGTGGAGCTGGACATGGGCGAGGCCATGGGCGCCCCTGGGGCCGGGGGAGGCGAGAGAAGGGGGGGCGGTGGGTGGGTGCTGCCTCCCACCCGCCCGCCAGCACCCACCCAGACTGTGAGGGCAGGCCCCATGCGGGACACAGGAGCGAGTTTCCGGCGTCCGGCTGGCCTTACCGTCGTCGGGGCCCTGCAGGATGAGGTAGCGCGTGGTCTCTGCCCCACCATCCTCGGCACTGGTCACGGTGATGCAGCCTGAGTGGATGGGGAAGGGGGCGATTATTCCCAGCTGACCAGGAGAACCGTCCCTGCCCACCTCTCCAAGGGGATGACCGGTGGCTCTCACAGCTGCCCTGGCCACCCGCTGAACCACCCCACCCCACCGACACTGAGCTGGAGAGCCTGGGCCGCGCCACCCTCAGTGTGGACTGTGACCCCACAGCGTGTCCACGTGCAGTAAAGGGGCCGGCCTGGAAGCTCATGGCCGGGCAGGAACCCGGGGCAGTCACTGAGCTTCTGCCTGCCGCTTGCTGGTGACACAGGGTAAATCCCTACTACCGCTGGCTACAGACCCTCATCGGTGTGGATGCTCTGGCCTTTGGGGGTTACTAGAGGACTAAGTGGGCCAACCCACGAAGGGGCTTAGAACACCCCAGGCAGAAGCAGGTGTCCAGCATCCGGTTCCCTACTGGGCACTTTGCACCCGGCAGGAACTACGCTGAGAATTCTGCGCTCAAGGCGGCTGTCTTTAGCCACGGGGGGCAAGGGTCACTGTTTCTGGGCCACAGAGCCAGTGTGGTCGGCTACATGCCCGAGTTGCCGGTGGTCCAGCTGACCCTGCGGGGAGCCCCGGGAGGGCCAACTCCGGCCGCCCTCTGCCTGACTCACTCTGGATGAGGTCAGGCCCGATGGTGGACTCGATGATCTTGTCGATGGCCGAGCCCAAGTCCGAGGATGAAGCCGTGCAGTCGGCCACCAGCATGCTGGGGTCAGGAAGGGCGCTGGAGTGCACCAGGGCGGGGGCACCAGCGGTCACCCCGGCCTCTGGCCCCCGGGACACAGAGGACGAGTCGGGGAGGTAGCCTTGGGGCAGGGGGTCCGTGCTCGAGCTGCTCTCGGTCACCTCCTAGGGGACCGACAAAAGTCAGAAGGCGGGGAGGGGTCAGCTCGGGCCAAGGACGAGGTGAGGGAGCTCACCCCACTCTCAGCTGCTAGCCACAGGGTCCCCCAAGAACCAAGTCCCAGGGGGCTGATGCAATAGCACAGTGGGTGGGGCGTTTGCCTTGCACACGGCTGACCCCGGTTCAATTCCCAGCATCCCATGTGGTCCCCTGAGCACTGCCAGGAGTAATTCCTGAGTGCAGAGACAGGAGTAACCCCTGAGCATCGTGAGTAAGATCCCCTACCCCCGCCCCCAAAAAAAGAACCAAATCCTAGAGAAGGGCTTGTACGGTCCCTACCCTGCGTATGTGTGTGTGTGTGTGTGGGGGAGCCACTGTTCTCTGGGGGACTGTCTGCCCAGCTCCCCGGCACCGACTGCTCCCCATGTATTAGACAAGACTCCGTGGCCAGTCCTAGGGGGGCCACCCCATCCTCAGTGATCCAGCCCGCTGCGGCCAGGGTCACATCTCTCTCTCTCAGGCCTTTCTGCGGGAGGCCCGGCCAACACAGGGCGGCCCACAGCAGACCCCTCCACTCTAAATGAATAACCCCCTGAGCCCCCAGGTGGGGCTGGGGGCGGGGGACACGGTGCAGTTAGAGTAACATCCAGAAAGTGCCTTGCAGAGAGCGAGGATCGGGGCTTCCCCGCGGGGCGCTGGCCCTGCAGGCTCGGTGGGGTGAAGCACCCAGAGGTGGCATTCCCGGAGGACGGGAGACAGACCGTGGAGGTGGGAGCTTATCCCTCCCCCATGGGCCAGCCTGTGAATGGCAGGGTGGGCGGCGGAACCCCCGAGCAAGCACCTGCCCAAGCGGGCGCCTGGCCCCGCTGGCTCTAACGGGGGCCTCCCAAAGAGAATGAACGAATGAGTGAATGAATGAGTGAATGAATGGGCGGATGAATGAATGAAGAACCGGCAGCCTGAGAGTGCGGGGCGGGAAGCCCCCAGCCAGGGTCTGGCCCCAACGTGCCCAACAGCAACTCCTGGGGCCCGGAAGGGGGGGGTCGCCGGCTCCGTACCGGGGGGCTGCTGCGGCCGCGGTCCGAGCTCTGGCCCACGCGGGAATCGTCGGCCTCGGCCGGGCCGGGCGCGCTGGCCGCGTCGCTGCTGTCGGCGGACACGGCCTCGGAGGTGCCCACGCCCAGGCCGCTCTCGGAGGACGGCGCCGGGGCCGGCCCCGCGTCGCTGCTGCTCTCCACCACCTCGCTCTCCTCCATGGGCGCGGGGGGCCGCCTGGCGGGGGGGAGCAGAGTCTGGGGGCTTCACGCTGCGAGAAGAGGGGACGGGGGCTGGGACGCACGGGCCGCCGCCCCCCGGGACCCGGCGGCGGCGGCGGCGGCGGCGGGGCCCTTGCGCCCATTGTGCAGATGCAAAGACTGAGGCTCCCCTCCCCCACCCCGGAAGCCGCTCCGGCGACGACGGCGACGACGAAGCTTCGAGAAGAGCCGGCGCGGGCCAGCCTGGACGCCGCGGCGGCCTCGACTCGGCGGGCCCCGGGCCCCGGGCCTGGCGCGCGCCCCGCCGCCGCCGCCGTCCGGCCCGCTGGGTGGTTCCGTCCCGCGGCCCCCGGCGGGTGGTACGGCCCGCGCCCCCCGCTCGGCGGCGCCCGGGCGCCGGGGCCGGGGCCTGACGGGCCGGGGCTGCCCCCGGCGCTGCCTGCGCGCCGCGCCCGGCGCCATCTTGCGGCGGGGCCCGTTTCCGCGCAGGCAAGTGCGAGAGCGACTAAAGGGCCCGGGGACCCCGGGGCCCTCGCCCGGGCAGCCCCGCCGGCCCGCGCCCGCGCCCGCGCCGCCCGCAGCCCCGCCGCGCCGCGCCGCCCCGCGCCCGCGCCCCGCGCGCCGGACGGCCCGGGCGCGCCGCCGCCGCCCCCGGCACTCACCCGACGCTCCCGCCGCCGCCGTCCCGCCCGGCTCCGGCATCGACGAGGCCGCCATCCTCCCCCCGCCGCCGCCGCGGAGGGACCCATCGCCCGCCCCCCGCCCCGCCCGGCGGCCGGGACTACTTCCGCCGCCCTCCCGGGGAAAGACGGGGGGCCCCGCGTGCCGGAAGGCCTTCCCAGGGCCTCGGGGCCCTCCCGGGTGCGGGCAGAGGAGGGGGCTTCACCTGCCGCCCGGACGGAGCGGCGGGGCGCCCTCGGGGGTGGGGACTACTTTCTCCCGCGGCGGAGTACCCTCGGCGGGGGGCGGCGCTGACGTCACGCTGGGTCCCTTTCCCCGGGCCGCGGGGTTGGGCGCGGCGAAGGCCCGCCCCCCGCGGGGGCGTGACTTCCGGGCCTGGCCACGCCCCTCCCGGAACCGCTCGGGCCGGCGTGGGAGCGTTGGGCCGGAGCCCGAGGAACCGCGACGGGTCGTCGTGGGGCCTGGCTCGTCATTGGGATTGTTCTTTTTTCTTTCTTTCTGAATCTTCCTGGTTAAGCGAGTCCCGTTGAGGCTTGCTGTCCCGGGAGGAGGGGAGGTCGGATTCCCCCTACGGATGAGAACACGGAGAGGCGCGGGTGCCGGGACCAGGGTCACGTGAAATAAAGGGGCTTCTTGGGCTTCGTGGCACCTGGATGGAGCTGGGGTGTCTGGGCATGTCTGCAGTAGTCCGCGGCTGGCGAGGTGGTAGGATTGTTTGGTGGTACATTTATTCTTATTTTTTCTTGCGTTTTGGGCCACACCTGGCGATGCTCAGCGCTGACTCCTGGCTCTGCGCTTGGGGATCACTCCTGGAGGTTCTTGGGGTGTCGGCGATCTGCGAGATCGTTCCCGCTGTACCATTGCTCCGCGTTGAAAGGTAAAGCAGCGTCCTTGAAAGGCTTACTCCCAGGAAGAGAGGGACCGACAGAGAAGGACTGCACTCATTTGTGGAGTATGAAGCAACATAACATGAGGCTGACACCTAAGGAGGGTAGATACACGGCTCAGGAAGATTGCTCCATAGCTGGAAGTCTGCCTCATGGGCAAAGGGGAGAAGGCAGCTGGAATACAGAAGGGATCACTAGGAAAATGATGGCTGGAGGAACCGGTCGGGATGGGAGATGTGTGCCAAAGTAGATGAAGGAACAAACTTCTCAGTCCCTGCATTGCAAATCATAATGCCCCAAGGTAGAGAGCGATTATGGGGAATCATGTCTGCCATGGAGGGGATATTGGTGGTGGGGAATGTGCACTGGTGGAGGGATGGATGTTTGATCATTGTGTGATTGTCACCCAAACATGAAAGCTTGTAACTATCTCACGGTGATTCAATAAAATTTTTTTAAAAAGGCTTACTCACGCCAGGCTTGCAGAATATGACCTTGAGGGAAAGGGTTTGGGCCACACCCAACGACCTGAGTCGTTGGGTTCCCTTCATGTTAAACATTTGCTGCCCCTTAAGGCATCTCCCTGACCCGGGTCAGCTTTTTGGTGGGTGTGGTATCAGCTTTGCCCCTTGTCGCAGCTACTGTCCTTAATGGAAAAACCATGCACACTGCTGCCCTGGGGTTCGAGCCCCAGCATCCCCTTTGGTCCCCCAAGCACCGCCAGGAGCACCACCAGATGTGGCCCAAAATCCAAAAAAAGGTAAAACCGGTTTGGGGATGGTTCAGTGGCAATGGCACCTGCTTCCCAGGTGCGTGAGCTGCATCCCAGGTGTTACCCTCTGCCCGTGCTCTGCTGTTGGGGGCCCTTGTGGAACACTGCAGGGAACACTGCAGCATTACACCGGGAGGGGGAAGCGTGCTGAGCTCTGCCCGCACCACCCAGGTCAGTAAACAGCAAAAGGACAGGAGGCATGTGACCAGGTCAACAGATGACCCCAGTGACCATGCAGGTCAGTGTAACAACAGCAGAGGGACAGGTCGGGGGGAAAAAACAGGTTTGGAGAAGGATTGGCAACTTTCCCTACAGAGGGCCCAGAGAGGTAGGACGGCGGGTCAGGGGCTTGCCTTGCATGCCACCGACCTGGGTTCGATCCCCCAGACCTGCCAGGATTGATTCCTGAATGCAGAGCCAGGAGTAAACCCTGAGCACCGCCAGGTGTGACTCCAAAGCAGAGATGGCACAGTGGGCTGAGCAGAAGGCCCAGATTGGATCCCTGGCACTGCGTGAACACTGCTGAGTGTGGTTCAAAACCCCCAAAAAGAGGGAGACAGAGAGAAAAAACAAAATGACAGAGGGTGTCACCAAAGAGAGAACTGCGTGGGCTGAGTGCGGGCTTTGCATGCGGAAGGCCCAGGCTGGCTCCAGGCATCACCTGGTACCCAGTGCACCTCCAGGAGCGACCCTCCAAGGCGGGTGCCAAGAGAACAGAAGGGGCTAAAGCAACCCCAGAGCACCCACAAGGTGCTTGGGAATTGTCCAATCCGTGTGCACCTGAGACAGATGGAGGTTTTCTGGCCTTTATTTTGGGAGCGCACTTCAGTAGGGGGAGCCACGAGGCCTTGGATGGGCGTAACGCCCTTCCTCTTCGGGCTGAGTCCTCGGAGCTCTGGGGCAATCCATGTGACGCTCCCCAGGGGACTTCCTGCGTGGCCCTAGTCCCAGCCACTCCAGGGGGCTGCGTCCTGCCGGACCACATCTGCTCCACTGGGTCTGGGTGCTCATCCCACCCCACTGCGACTCCGCAAGTCCCAGCCCGGCAGCGGACAGGGTAACTTGGCGGACGGACATCGTAACCCCCTCACCTTGAAAGTGAAAAGGGGCCCCCCCCCCGAGGTCCCAAAGGGGAGCTGGGGGGAATAGGGCGTATGAAAGGGGGGGAAGCTTGGCCCCAGGGGTCCAGCACAGCAGAGCTCCCTATGAACGGGCAAGGCCACCAGTGCTGGACCTCAGACTGCTGATCTGTTCTCACCAGTGGGCGCAGTGTGTCGCTCTCGCCCTCCCTTTGATGGGGGAGACGTCTGGAATCAGTGAGGGGCCCCGTCAGAAGGATGTTGAGGGAAGCGGAGCAGAAGGCACTTCAGTCGTGCCGTCCTCAGGGAGTGAAGCAAAGGCATAGTTTTTTGGGTTTTTTTTTCCTTTTCTCCTTTTTTTTTCTCCTTTTCCAATTCTAGTATATGTGCTGCCGAAGCAAGCACACAGTGAGTGGGGCATTTGCCTTGGATGCGGCCGACCCGGATTCGATTTCCTCCACCCCTCTTGGAGAGCCCAGCAAGCTACCGAGAGTATCTCGCCCACACGACAGAGCCTGGCAAGCTCCCCGTGGTGTATTCGATATGCCAAACACAGTCACAACAAGTCTCACAATTTGTTGTGAGACGTTACTGGTGCCCGCTTGAGCAAATTTATGAAAAAGGGAGGACCGTGCTACAGTGCTTTTTCTGTGAGGGTGGGGGTACATGCCACAGACGTAAGCTGTGAGGTGGGGGGGGGTTGGGCAGAGGTCACCCCCAGGATCCTGTGCAGGAAGACATGCCCCTTACTCCTCCAGACATGTCCCCGTAGCCTGATAATCTTTTATTTTTGCCTTTTGGGTCACATCCGGCAATGCTCAGGGGTTCAGGAAGAACTTCTGGCGGTGCTCAGGGGACCCTATGGGATGCTGGGAATCGAACCCGGGTCGGCCTCGTGCAAGGCAAACTCCCTACCCTCTGTGCTATTGCTCCAGCCCCTGTTTTGTTTTTTGGGGGGGCCACACCTGGCGATACTTCAGGGGTTATCCCTGGCTCTGCACTCAGGAATTATTCCTGGTGGTGCTCAGGGGAGTGACTTTATGGGATGCCGGAGATCGAACCCAGGTCAGCCATGTGCAAGGCACACACCCTCCCCACTGTACTATAGCTCAGGCCCCACAGTCTAGTATCTTAAGGAAGCAGCCGTCGTCAAAGTCATTTCCCAAGGCAGGGCAGAGGACCCAGGTTCAGAGAGGGAAAGCGACTTTTCCAGGGTCGCCCCGCCAAGAGGACAAAGCAGTTGGATGTGATGCCAGCGCCCAGGAGACACGCCCTGCGTCATCTCACACCTAGAAACAGCATCAGTCCCGTGCGCGACACTTCACCTTCGTTTATTTGGGCCTCATCACCCCCGGTGAGGTAGTTGCCATCGTCCCGGCTCTGTGTGGGGTGTGAGGAGGACGGGTAGAAACCAGGCCACCTGCTCCCTAGTGGGGGCCTTGCACCGGGCATCTGGGGACCTTTCCCTGTGCTGAAGGCACCCGATGGCTGGAGACAAGGTGAACCCCTCAAGTTCCCTACCCTCAGGGAGAGCTCCGTGGGGCTCACACCAGGTTGGTCACACGTGGTCACCCCACGGACATTTGCTGCATCCGGGGCTCTGGCCACGTGTGCTTTGCTTTAATTTTTTTTTTCCTTTTTTGGTGTTTGGGGGCCATACTCAGCTGTGCTAAGGGCTCTGCACTCAGGGATCACTCCTCACGGTGCCCAGGGATACCGGAGATTAAACCCAGGTCAGTCGTGTGCAAGGCAAACGCCCTCCCTGCTGTTTCTGCTCCAGCCCCATACCCAGATGTTTCTTCCTTTTTTTTTTTGCCTTTTTTTTTTGTGGGGGGGAGGTCACACCCAGCGATGCTCAGGGGTTAGTCCTGGCTCTGCACTCAGGAATTACTCCTGGCTTGGGGGACCATATGGGATGCCGGAGATTGAACCTGGGTCGGCTCATGCAAGGCAAACACCCTACCCGCTATTCTATCGCTCTGGCCCCACACCCAGATGCTTCTAAAGAGGGACCATGGAGAATTCCTCTCCAGTGCCGAGTCCCGCCTGGGTTGGACGCCAGCACTATAAGAGCCTCCCCGCCACGCCATCTCTCCGGCCAGTCTGTGTTAAGGAACACGCTCTAGAGGTTCCATATTCTCACGATCCCGACTGGGAAACGGCACTCCGAGAGTACTTGAAGTGACTCGACCAAGGTCAGACACTTGGCGCTCAGCAGAGCCGGATTCGCATGCTGTGACTGCCCGTCCTCTGCCCTTTGGCCTTCCTCCGTGTGGGGGTAGCCTACCCTCCTGCTCATCCCTGCTTCTCACGGCGCCGCTGCCTTCTATGGATTTAGCT